AGTAGTTAAATTATGGAGAGGATCTCTACTGCTACCCATGTTAAGTCTGATCTGCTAAGTTTTCACTGAAAGAACCCGAGATTCTGTTCTCCCCTGTGATGACCTTCAATATTTTTTTAAAAATACATATTTTCAAGATATGATACACCATTTGGAACATGAGATGTTTCACCCTCTGATGGAAAATTAACAACCTATTTACACTAAAAACGTAGTCAAAAATAAAACAACTCTAATCAGAGTTTTAAACTATAACCAACCACTGAACCGGACTTTTTCCATGCACCAGATAAGTTAATTATTAGAGGGATGTCATGAAAATATAAAGCACTAAGTGGCAGGCTCTTATGAATGTTTCCTTCACCCTCTGATTTTTAGAAATTCTATCTAGTTTACTAAATAGTTTTCAAAACACATTTATATAGCAACAATATTATAGAACTTAAAAACCCTATACTTTGAATACTGCCTTTTCTTTCATCTCTGCCTTCTGTCCCCCAAGCTAATCTAATCCAGCAAACCATTTTAAAGTTTTTTACAATTACAATCAGAAACACTCAAGTCATTCAAAAGTCCATCATCCGTTTAAGAGGAAAACCTGCCAAATGTGGCAGGATACAGAATAGTTTCTTTCCTCACTGAGCTCATTATTTATTTCACTCTGAAAGTGCTATATGCATGGTCAGAAAACATGGTCAGGTCCCATAAACACATATGTGAGTGTGGCAGGCAGGATAACGCCTTCCCTCCCTGGGAGGTCCACATCCTAACCCTGGAGCCCTCAACGTACTGTGGAACAAGGCCAGAGGGAGTTATGAGGATTACTTATGGACCTAAAGACAGCAAGTTATCTTCAACTAACCAGAAGGCTTAATATAATCATGAGAGTCCTTGAACAGGAAAGGGGCTCAAAAGTCAGAACCAGAGGGCTGGGGTTGGGGCTCAGTGGTAGAGTGCTTGCCTAGCACACGGGAGGCACTGGGTTCAAACCTCAGCACCACATAAAAGTGAAATAAAGATACTGTGCCCACCTATAACAAAAAAATAAATTTAAATATATATATATATATATATTTTAAAAGTCAGAACCAGAGAAATGGTCCATAAGGACAGACCAGGCCAGCCAGCGCTCGCTCTAGAGACGGATGGAGCCACGAGGTAGGGAAGCAGGCCACTTTAAAAGCAGGGGAAGGCAGGAGCATGGATTCTCCCTAGAGTCTCTAGAAAGGACCACAGCCCACCAACACTTTGATTTCAGTCCAGTGAGATCTATTTTGGGCTGATTTTTAGAAAAGTTAAGATAATAAATCTGTGTTATTTTATGTAGTTATTTGTTAAAGTAGTAATAGGAAACTAAGACAATTTGTGTAGTTTTCAAATATGCTATTTAAGACTTGCTAACAAATTAATAGTTATTAAGAGATTTAATGAAAATGGAAACCAAAGCTTAGAAAGTGACTTATGTAAAATAACAAAGTCTAAACAGCAGATCTGATGCCAAAGGAGTACTCTCATCTAATAGGCTGCCTCCCACTCCAAAAGAAACTTGGAAGAAAAAGCACTAAGTCTCTATATGTGTTGTATAAATTTACTAGGTCGAATTCTAACTTCATGACTTTTATAAATTATGTAGTTATTTTTATCATAAATGTTTCATTTGCATCCAGAACCAATAAGTACCTTGTGAAAATACTGTCCCAGCAACAATTATGGAAATTATTTCCTAATAATTTGTAATACAGATGCACTTTTTTTAAATAAAATTTTGTAATCCCTTAAATAACAATATTGAGGACAAATTCATGTAGTCATAGATTCCTAAGAGATATACTAAGCCACATGTAAGCTAACTTGATAAATACATTCTACCATGTCAGTTACTTAACTTCAACAAATAAGAGTATAATCTCTGCTTTCATCTAGATTCTAAGAAATTGGACCTCAGATACAGGGTGATTCCAACATGAGCATGCCAGTCATTATGTGCTAGGAACATAAAAAGTGAGACTCTTGCCCTTGAAAAGCAATAAGGTTCTTTTAGTAAGTCACAATGAAAAAGTAGACTATCTGATTGAACCCTCCTATAAAAACAATTTGAAAAACTAGATATAACATAATTTTCAAAGTATCAAACAGATGATAAAGCCAGGTGTGGTGGTGCATGTCTGTAATCCCAGCAACTTAGGCGGCTGAGGCAGGAGGATTCCAAGTTCAAGGCCAGCTTCAACAACTTTAGCAATTGTCTCAGAATTACGTATTAATTTAGCATGCAGAACACTGAAGAAGGTTGCTCCTAACCCTACACCAGCACAACACTGGCAGCATGTATATTCACAACTTCAAAGAGCTGACAGGCTGCAAGGCAACCCCCACCAAACCCCCACCTGAGGAAGGGGCTCAAAGGGGAGAAGAGATGTCAACACTTGCTTACCTAGGAAATGCTGGGGGCCACTAAAAAAAGTCTCTTTAAAAAATTGTTACCAAGTTTCAAAAGCCAAATGTGAACCAGTAAAACAGAAGCACCCCTGATGGCCACAGGCACTACAACCTGAAGGAGGGAAGGAAGTGAGGAGGAAGGGAAAACCAAGGAAAGACAAAGGGGGAAATGCTGGAGTCGGGAAGAGAACGACACAGCCCTGGAGAGAGAAGCTGCCCAGCCCACACAGGCCCTTCCCTCCACTCTCCTGTGCAGTTGCTGGTAGAAGAGCAAGAAAATTCTGCTACACTTCAGATGTGGATGGAAACCTAAGGAGGCGAGGGGAAGAGCAGGAAGAAAGAAGCCTCAGAGGAGGGAGGGCAGGGATTCATCCAGGCACAGACAGAGGGGCAAAGGCAGGGTCAGAGAAGGCTGCCCTCCACACCCTCCCTAAGTCTGAATCAAAACAAAAATACTCCTTCTTTCCCGCTACCAAATCAGCAGAGCTCAGCAACACGTTCCAGAGTCCTGTGGGGAGAGGGAGCCTGAGTAAAAGCTGGGCATGCAACAGACACTTAGGGAAAACTCTCCAATAAGACACCCTCTATCCTGAGCACAAAGTAATGAAAGCTACTGGAATCTGAAGCCCCAAAGACAAAACACGACATAGCAAAGCTCAAGCCTAATACAACTGCTGGCTGGCAGACTCCACTCCCAACACAGGGAAAAAGGAAGGTGCGACCATTTCCAAGTGTCGGGACGATCTGCCTCAGTGCCTTCCAGTCTACCCAAGATGACAACTTTCAAAATCTTAGGAGGTGTGAAAAGGCAGATGAAAGCAGGGTCTGGACATAGAACCACCAGAAGCACTGGTCTCAGGCAGACGCTGGATGGAATACAGCCAGCAAGGATGAGAGGCACAATCAAGGTTCTCAAGTGGAGACGTTCAATATAAAGAGGAAATCATGAGAGAGTCAAAGAGAAATGTTGAGAGGAAGGACCAGGTACAGGTGAAGAATGCCTTTAACTGGCTCAAGTACAGACTGAGCACAGCCACAAGAAGAACTAGTGAACCTGAAGGCAATCAGCAGAAGTTACCCAAACTGTAACAATGGGGAGGGCAATTTGTGGGACAGGGTAAAGCATCCAAGAGCTGTGGGACAGCATCAAATGATCCAACACACCAGTAACCGGAGAAGAGAGAGAGAACAGGATAGCAACAATATTCAAAGAAACACAGGTTGAGCACTCCCAATTCAAAAATCAGAAATCCAAAATGTTCCAAAATCCAAAATTTTGAATACTGACATTCCTCAAAAAGTTTCAGATTTTGGAGCATTTCAGATTTTGATTAGAGATGTTCAACAGGTAAAGCCTAGGAAATTCCCGAAATCTAAAAAATTTGAAATTGAAACTCTTCTGGTTCTCAAGGATACTCAACCTGTAACAAACAGAAATTTTCCAAAATTAATGATAGACACCAAATTGTAGAGCCAATAAGGAGAAAAGAAAAACGGACATTTTAACACATTAATCCATGTCTTTAAATTTAAAACTTTTAAAAGTGGATATAAATATTTCCAATCTAGTCTGTCTTTTGGAGATCTACAAAATGATCCCCACTGTATCAAAAACCCACCACACTGTGTAAAACTGAGTAGTCCCTTCTCGACTCAATGCCTGTCCTCCAGAGTGCGCTATACAGGACACAGGGCCGCTCTTCCCCTCATCTCATTCCATTGCCATCTGCCCAGACTGCACGCCACCTCCTACTGCAAAAACACCCAAAGAACATTTATGAGAAAATGCTCACACTGGGTACCTCACCGGCTGACTAGCAGAATCCCTTCAACGGGAGCCCAGGCTGCTGCCCACAAGCCCTGGCAAGTGGAGAGGAGGAGAGAGGGGATAAGAAAAAAAAGAAAAGAAGTTGAGCCCCTGAGCAAAGTTTCGGAGCACTTGGAATGCACTGAAAAGACAGATCCCAAGCCGTCATGGCAATCCTGTTGCTGATCCAGGGGGAGTCATGGGAAAAAGTCATTTGGCAGCAACTGGCATTCTTCAAATAGAAGATCAAGATTCTTGGTTTTTTGTTTTTTTTAAACCATAGTTTTAGAAAATAATATTCACATTGAATGTAAATATTAATACTCCTGGTTTTTCAAACAATTCAGTGTATAAGAAAAATCCAAATTTACACTGACAGAAAACAGTGGCTGCTTCTAGTACTAAATCTGATCTAAAGAAGACAGCGTTCCATGAGCTCCGAGGAACTCAAGTGTAGGGTTTCCAGCACATTGCCGTTTTCTATTTATAGACTCCAAAAGTATCAAATGTTCTTTTTATTTCTCTTTAAGGTCAACACTGACAACCACCAGGAAAGGACTTAATTGTCTGCAGCAACCTTTCTGATGGCTAAAAAGAATCACTGACTTTTATTTAGAGAGTTTTTGTTGCCTCACAAAACTCTGAATTATTTAGTACCTATATGGTTGTGTACTTTCAAACCAAATCCTAAATGTTACCTTGATCCTTGGACTAATAATTAGGAGTTGCTAAGGAAAAACACAAACAGCACTCTTACTGGGGTCCCTGCGTCCACGTAACTCTGTAGCTTCCTCCTCATGTCTCTTTCGTTAAATTTGGCACTTCGCTTTACATAGATCCCTCCGTGCTGCACATGAAAAAATGGGGAGAAAAATTATTTACTTTTAAATTAACCAATGGCCACAGTCATCAGAGAGGCAACTCTGCTCCTAAAGGGTAAAGAACAAAAAAAATTTCACAATTTAAGGAATATTTAATACATTCAAATATTAGCACCTAAATAACTTAAACATTCTGTTCTGACATTATTCCAATAAAATTGCATGCTATTCTATGAAAATATATGAACATTTAGTTTGTTGGTAGTTAATATCCTTTCTTTTTTAAAAATATATCCTTTAAACCAAAAACTCTATTTATCAGATGGATCTTAACTCCCAATTTTCCACTGATTCATTACAGAATCACTAAAAAGTATCCTTAAATGTTAGCACTAACAACCTTTAGGGATTTGAAAAAATGACCCAGCTACAGCTATTTACGTGGCACTGGTAAGGACTACATTTGTTTCCCCCAAACCCAGGTGTTAAGGCTCCAACTTCCATGGTGACTGTGTGGAGATAGGGGGGTAATCATGATAAGTACATCAAGGTCCTGGGGGGGGGGTGAGCCAGAGTGACTGCATCCTTCTGAGGAAAACAAACACCAGGCATGCAGTGCACAGAACAAGATCACATAAGACACAGGAAGGGTGCTGTCATCTGCCAGCCAGGGAGAAAGGCTGGGCATAAACCAGCTCTCTCACACCTGGATCCTGCACTTTAAGACCTTAGAAAATAAATGCCCTCATGCTAAGAACTTTACACATTAGCTCATTATTTTGCTTAATCTCTGAGAGATCACAATTAATTTTATCATTGGTTTCTTAAAGTAACTGACTACTGAATCCTATGTCTTTAGTTTCCTATCTGACTTTTGTACTTTTCCTATTTCATTTAACTATGTGGACAATCAGACACATATATACATATACAACATCAAAAATACCAAAGAAAAATTCTGGGGATATATTTCAGTGGTACAGCGACTGCTCAGCATGCATGAAGACATGCATTCAATCCCCAACACCACAAAACAGAACCAAAAAAATCCACATATATTTATATTAAGTGTATGTTAAACTTTAAAATATATTTTTTAAACTGACCCATATGTAAAGGAAAAGGTAGAGGAAAGAAAAGTTACCTGAGAAAAGTAACACCCATATAATGGAAGCCACTTGAGCCTATCCTTCAACACGTAGCGCACGTGTCCGAGAGCATTCTGCCGGATGGCCAGAATATCAGCAACAACCCAGTCAACTGCAAAGACAGACTCCGTCAGTATGTCCAGCGCCCCTCCCCAGAGACCACAGAAACAGCCTCTTCACAGCACTGTGTTAGGAATATGCTATGAGAATAATCAGAATGTTTAAAATTACTTTACATAAACCCCAGATACTTAAAAAACTTAAATTGAGGGGATTTTTTTTTTCTTTTTTACATTATCCTCCAATTCTTGAAAGGCTTTTTATTTCAAGGACAAAAGAAAAAAAATCACAAAGTACCAACTAATTCAACAGAAGTATTTTACAAAGAATAAGCTGAGTTTTTAAAATTAAGACATATTTTTTTCTTTTTTTCATAAAAAGGGGGAAATTATAAGCAGAAAATGCTAAGAAACTATCAAGGGTGACTAAATATTCTGGACACACATGCTCAACAAAAGGCCAGGGCCCTTTATGAAGGAGCCTCTGGACACAGTACTAGGTCACACTGGTATTCAGAAGGTCTCAGATGCCTTACAACGAGGCTAGGGAGATGTGTGCTCCTTACCAACCAAGGGACAAGGTCCCCGATAACCCATTACCCTGCTATGCTATTACCAAAGAGTCTCGAAACCAAGAGCAAAGCGTAAGTGAGCCGACAGGAGCGGCAACTGAAGCCTTCCAAGAAGTTGTGCACTGGGCTTCAAACAGAAGAAACGCTGACCCGCAGAAGTGGGCTTGCCAAAGCAAAGAAACAGGACCAGCAAACGGGGTGCAGAAGACAGTAACAGAGGAGGCGCTTTGAACAGATGAGAGGAAAGGAAATGAAGGGGACAAATAATAATAATGTCTTGAGAGCCAGAGAAACCGGACTTGAAAGCCAGTGGCTGCCAATGGCCTCTCCTGGTGAGAAGGGCAGTGTAAAGTAAAACGTGAAGGACACTCTAGCATTAGCAGATGAACTCAAGGTGTGAGACTTAAAAAATACATTTGTTAAGAACCTGTGCAAAGAATATACTTCTAGCATCACAAGCATATTCAAGGCCATGGAAATGAGAATTAAAGAAAAAATGGAGTAATTAAAGAAAAAAAAATGTTTTAAAGCCTAGGAAATAAGTCTGGAATTTAAAGAAATCACAATAAAGTTTTAACAAAAGGAGATAGTTTTCCACAGACTACAAGATGACTAACTCTCAGTCACATGAAATCCTTTAGACAACGCACATACTATCTAGACGTCCTGAAGATATAGCCATTTAAACACTAAAAATTAACCTTCTAGAAAAAGTCTTACCAATTATTATAAATTTCTTTTTAATTAGGGATTACCACTCAGAGATTACCTGGTTTTTGATGTCTTTAAGACTTACAATTTTATTTATATATATATATATATATATATATTTTGTTATGGATCCTTATATACTGATGCCTAAAGATTTCTGTCTATGTTAGACAGTAAATGGCAGCTGTGTCTATTACACAAACTGTAATACTATCAACTATGGCTTTTTTCTAAGGTAAACAACTTTCTTTAGAAGCCCTCTCCTTAGTCCCTTCTAACTTAGATCAAATAAACCATCACTGAGACACAGTTCTTCGAAATCATCTTAAAAACACATAACCAAGCCTGTTATAACTGTTCCAAGTTTAGAAGTAGACTCAATATTAAGAACTAATTTGATATGACTCTATATGGTTCCCAGGTTAAAGTACATCATGGTATATATTCAAGGAGTATGAAGTTAAAAAACAGATTTGGCATCTTTTCCTGCAACAATTATTTTTTAAAGTTTAGGGAATAATAAATGTATTTTTTGAAACAAGCATGGTTATGTTGTGGACTTGGATGCATATTCTAAGAATGTTGTAAAAAGGAATAAGATTTCCAAAATATGTCATGATCCTAATAACCGGCCCTGAGCTATGCCCTTAAACTTGAAATTTTTTTGTGGAAAAGTTTAACAACTAACTAAAGCAGTCAAAAGACATATGTTTTTTAATTGTCTCGCTGTTTATTCTCAGCTAGGTTTCAGATAGGTAATACTAGATTACAACTGACACAATAACATATTACCTTTGGAGTAACTATTCATATTTCACATTCTGGCTAAGTCAGAATTCTTCAACAGTGAACCAAACAAAGCAGGGTCACGCTCCCTCATAGTGAGGAGAGAGTGGAGGGATGAGGAGGGGCAGCCACCTTTTGTCTCCCTCAACCCTATCATCCTGTTGTAACGCTAGTTCCTAACTCATAAAGTTCTGCTGTACAGAGACACAGCAACGCCACCCCTAAGCCATATTCACCACTGGGATCACGAGATAACCTAAATGTAAACTGCCTAAAACCCCCATCAGTAGATATGACACCTAAACAACTAGCCTCCAAGAGGTTAAGTAATTTGCCCACAAACTCACATGAACCAGGGTCCCTGACTTCAAAGCCACATCTACTTATGACAGTTGACTCACCACCCATGCTGTTAGTCAAGGAAATTGCCACCTAAACCCAGAAAAGGGAGCATTTGTGAGATTAAAGATAAATAGTGTTCAAAGCAGATAGTTAAAGAAGAATGAGGGGAAGAAATAGACTTTTGTCTTTGGTAACACTGGTAAGAAATAAGTTAACAAAAACTAAGAATGTGGAGACAGCAAGGGCATGCCAAGTGAAAACAAGGGATGAGGGAGACTCATTTACATGTCAATTCTATTTGAACGCCAGCCAGGAAACTCATTTATTCTGGCAGTCCTCGTGGAGGGTGAACTAGAAAGCCCAAGCTGAGCAGCGGTCTTTGAGATGTTCTTTCTGCCAATTACATTTTTCAGAGATATTTAATTGAGCCTTTTAATATCTCAAAAGGGTTTTTAAAAGGGCATCTACACACAAGAGGCCAAGGAACCTAGTCTACGGTTAGGCTTTGAGAACCTCTGGAATCAAAAAACTACATGAAGATTTTATGGGTACGTTTTTCTGGGGGAAGATTCCATACCTTCCATCACATACTAACCAAAGCCTGCAATTCTAAAGTAATTTAAACTCATTCTTCTGGTATGTCCCCAAGTTGTGCATGTTTAGAAAGCATTCCAAAAGTAGCCTTCCCAAATTCCAAAGGCTGCCTGGTATCAGGACCCAGTGCTAAAGCAATGCAAGAAAGCCATGGGGCTTGGGGCAGGGAGTAGAAGGGAGTGGCTCTCTACAGGTTAGGGTGGGCCCGGTGTGGAGTTCATGCCACCACTTGCGACATTCCAATCCCAACACAGAAGGAGAACTGTTTCCATGTATCGTGTTTCCACAAATGCTCTCCCAGAAGTTCTCACTCCGGAGAGAGGCAGGGAAAGGCCAACAGAGTAAGCATGGAAACGGCAGTGGGGGTTATTCCTTTCTCATCACCACCACCACAGCCTCGAGAGTAGTCCAGGACGTGTTCTGCTTGTCAGTACCAGGACCTCATCTATTAAGAGCAGTGTTTCCACTAAAACCCGGAAAAGGGGAAGCTGGCAGGAAACTGAACAAGGAATTTCAAGAGAATTCTGATAAAGAAAATTCTATGTTAAATTAGTGACTCAGTCAATAATAATTGAAAAATGTGGGGTAAATAATGCTATCACAGGTCATTCCCTATGGTAGACCCATGAATGTCTTTTTTATTTGGATGCCTGGTAGAAATTCTTCCTCAGCACCAGGACAAGAATGGCAGGATTGTCCTACTGGTTAAAAAAAGGGCATCACGTCTGGGCAAGCCAGCATCCCAAGAGGCTGTTATTTCTACTAAAGTCAAATGTAATTAGATCAAATAATCTGAGCCAGTCCCATTAATAAAGTTGGGAAAAATACACAGATATGTCATGATTCCTATCCATACCTGTTTCTCCAGCTCTGATCCTATCCATCTGAATGTAGTCATTCATATGCTAAATTGAGAAAAATTCACTTCAACTGCTTTCACTTTCTACACTTACCTAAGGTAATAAAAGCAACAAGATCATGAGGACAGCTGATAGGAAAAAACAAAGGAAAGCCATGGGCATTTGTGATCTTCCATGAGAGCTCTATCATTGATCCAGTGGTTTTTAGCTTTGGGCATACTGTATATCTAAAAGTAATTTAAAATGGAATTTAGGAAGCATGCATCAAAAGTAGCTACAGCTTTGAAAAATATGGAGATTTTTGTTGTTTTTTTTTTTTTGACTAAATTATTTGAAGAAAAAAGTGCCTTAACCAGTGTCACTCTCCTGGTTTTGATACTGGCTACAGTTTTATAAAATGTTATCATTGAGGGGGACTTGGTAAAGGGGTTATGGGACTAGATGCACTATTTTTACAAATTCCTGGTAATTATTTAAAAATGAACAGCTTTTGAAAAGCACCTTGACCTAATTCAAAGTCTACTAGAGACAGTTTCCTGTGATTTCTCTGACAGAGACTAGCAAGCTGGAGCTAAAACTAAGGCATGTGAAGGGGCAAAAGGAGGTGGACCAGTGAGAACAGAAGGCCATGATCAGCAAGTGTGCAAGTGCATGCACACCAGCCCAACTGTGCAGGCCGCAGTTAGGAGTGCACAGGGTGCACCCACTTTGACCTACCACCTGCACCTGCAGACAGCTCACAAAGAGAAGAATGGACAGTCTCAACAGTTACTCTAAGGAATAGGGGAAAGCAAAGAAACAACTCATTTACAAAGAAGTATAGACAAATTCAGAACTTTCACATTACTGACTTTCCAAAAAGTAAAATCACAAAAATACAAGGACAGATAGAAAATCTGCATAAAAAATGCCCGTTTTAACAACTAGAAAAAGACCCCACTTCATTTAAATATATTAAAGTATTATTTTGAATGCCCACGAACCATTTGTAGAAAAACCTAAATCTCATGCAAATGAAATACAAACCTGTGCTTTGATGATTTGCTAAATATATTATATTTTCTTTATTTTTTGGCAAATCTCCATATAGCAATATCTAAAAGACAAAAAGAAACATTACTTTGATATTTTAAAACACATACTACTGTAATATACAAACTAAGACAATGTGAAAAATTTGACACACATGTGATGTTGTAAATATATCCATAATTAACGAAAATTAAATTTCTCTCAGAAGCCTCACAGATCATAAATAGCTCATGCTTATAAAGTAGACAAACGTAGGGCAGGTTAATGGTCATAGCATAAAACAGAATGATAAACATCCTCCAGAAAAAGGCTACAAGCATTAACTGATTGCTAGCAATATATAAAATTTTTCAAAAGATACCTCTTCCTTCAAATAGCTTGCAAGCTAGTGGAAGAGACAGACACGTACACAGCAACTGCAATGACAACATAACACACGTATAATCAAAGTACAGTATATTTTAAAGAACTACAAGCTGCAAAGCTGTGCATTTCATAGGTGTGATTTCCAGGGACAAAAGGAAAATGTTCACAAACATAAGATCAAATGAAGCAGCAGTGCTGGAGTCCTGCTGAGGCACACCAAGCAGTGTTGTGGGGAAAGCCCAGAGAGAGGAGCTGGTAAACTGGAGCAAGGAGGGCAGAAGGGAGACTGCACTGAACGTCAGGTCTTTTGAGTACCAAGTAAAAGATTACCACTGTATTCTGTAAGTACCAGGGAAACATGGCCTGGTGATCAGAACTCTGTATCTCCATTAGGAATTGATGCCCTGAGAGCTTCTAGTCCACCTGTCAGCTGCATTTCTTAAATCAGGTGGCAGAGACATAGGGTTCCTTTTATTAGACCTTCTGAAGTTTTACATGTCTTAAGTAATCCATGATAAATAATTTAAAGAAGCTGGCAGTACACTTCTAAAGACTTCAAAGGAATGACTGTTAATGGTGGGTTTTGCTTTTTTTTTTTTTAATACCTTCATTTTATTTACTTATTTTTATGTGGTGCTGGGGATCAAACCCAGTGCCTTGTACATGCTAGGTGAATACTCTACCACTGAGCCACAACCCCAGCCCTTGCTTTGTTTTTAATTCAGGGCTTTTCTGTTTTTGTTCCTTGTCATCATGGAGTATGCAAGCTTATGAATTAGCTAAGACTTTTTAGATCTAGCTCATCCACAGGGGACTTTCTTTATTCATTAGCATCTTAACAAAAAAGAAAGGACATTAATGCAATATCTTTGTAGAATATACAACTAGGTGACATAAAGTTCCAAAGGTCAGCGACTCAGACTGAAGTTTCTTCTATCTTTGACAACCACATAGTGTTATGAATCTAATAGGTATAAATATATGCCCAAATTTTTAAAATAAGGTTTATCAATGGCATACATAAATACAGTAAATACAAATAAAACCAAATGATTGATCTGTGCAGGGTTAAGACTGGAGGGACTCCAGATTGTGAGCCCAATCCCTTAACAAGGAGCACAGGACTTCTTCAGGACCCTGTGTACACACTCAATTTAAAAGTACTGCAGATATGTAGCAGTGTTTCAGGTTTCACTTCCTTGGGTAGAATATCCAAGGTTCTTTAGAGACATGCCTAGCCCCCAAGCTGAAGGCAACACTTGAACCATCCAAAGGCTCCTTTCTCACTTTCTTGCAGAGATCTACTAAGAAACTGCTAAGCTGCAGCCTTTGAAGATTGATGGCAAAAAAAAACTATTAAAAAGCAGTTTTCAGGGCTGGGGTTGTGGCTCAGTGGCAGAGTGCTTGCCTGGCACATGTGAGGCACTGGGTTCAATTCTCAGCACCCTGAATCAATAAATAAAATAAAGGTCCATTGACAACTAAAAAACAAAAAAAAAAAAAAGTAAAAAATTTTTTAAAAAGCAGTTTTCACAAGATTACAGATTATAGTGCCATCCACAGGAAACATAGCACTTCAAATTTTTTAATAAACCTAAACATATCTCATTTTAAAATCAAACAAGCACATTGAGGGTAGAGAAGAAGCACAAAAACAAGCACAATCATCTAAGGTTTCTCAATGTATGCAGAGGACTGAAACAGTGTGTCCAGCCTTGGTTTTACACTCAAGCAAGCTGAGGTGTATAGAAACCAAGTTTCTTGTTCAAAAACCCCTGAGTAGTTAACCATACCAACAGCTTAAAAATACTACATATCACCACTTTTGGGGCTCCAAGCCAGCTTTAAAATACTACAATTTTCTATTTTTGTTTGGGAATACACCATGAACCTAAAAGCTTTGTATAAAAGGCCATCTTTTCCTAGTAGATATTTCTACTTTTGCCAATGAATTTCTCTACCCTTAAAAAAAATAAAAAGAGCACACGATAAATACATCAATGGAACAAATAAAGCATACAGACTACTTAAAAAAAAATTTAAAAAAACTTCATAATTGTAGTCCCTACAAAACTAATGTTCCCACTTTGAAATGGCTTACAAATAACTGTTAACTTCAGTATTTTAGTTGATTAATTCAAAGTTAAATTTGCTCAGTCTTTAAAAACCAACCTTTAATGGAAGCTAAAGAAAGTATAAACAATTCAACTGGGTAAAATGAACAGGGAAATGCAGTTCAATTGTGACATTTACTAATAAAGATTTTTCTTCCATATACATATCATATTGAAAGAAATGATATTTCCAACTAAAATGCAAAAGATAAGCCTTTAACAAAATATAATTTGGAATCTCAAAGTAGGTATTTGGATGACAGCCTCTTCTCTAAGATTTTCCACTCATGGCTCAAACACAAACTGTTTGGAATTTAAGAAATAAGAAGTTACAAAATACAAGAAGAGCCTGTCATAATTAAGACTTAAAAGATCTGAGATAAAGCAAGTGAAATGATAAAGTAAATCTTAATGTAACAGAGATGTAAATCATTACTAAGTATTTAAATAGATGCTGATAAACCAAAAACAAGAATGTATAAGTTCAATGCTGGCTCACTGAATGTACTCAATTTTTAAGATCCTACATTTCTGAGGGTCCAAGTGTAAATAAGCATTTCACACTAAGAATTATAAAATTTCTTCCATTCACTTAAGTGGAAAGGTTATGTGTTTCAGTCTACTAATGTGGTGGGGGGGGAGTTTCATTTGAAGAATACAGATTTTCAAAAATATTTAATAATCATTATCTTATTAAGAAGTATATGACTGGGGCTGGGGTTGTGGCTAGAGGGAGAGTGCTTGCGTAGCATGGGTGAGGCACTGGGGTAGATCCTCAGCATCTCATAAAATTAAAAAAAAAAAACAAGCATATGACTGAGGACAGTAGAATGAATCAGACATTATTACCCTATACACATATATAACTATACAGCCAGGGGTATTTACATCATGTACAACCAGAAGAATGAGAGATTATACTCCAACTATATATGATGTATAAAGTGCATTCTACTCTCATGTATAACTAATCAGAACAAATAAAAAGAAGTATAAGATTGAGATAGCTATATATTTTCAAAAATTTAAAAAAGCTCTAAAAAAGAAGTATAAGATTGAGATAGCTATAATATTTTCAAAAATTTAAAAAAGCTCTGAAGAACTTAAAAAAAAATTTCTCACAAATTACGAGATCATTACATGATTGCCCCCAGCACACCTACACTCCCTCCAGTGATCACCAAGTCAGATCACCTGTGACACACTCTGTTCTCAGCCCGCTCACATCCCAGGGCATGGGATGTGCTCGGCTGACAGTCACGTCCCTCACGGCCTAGGAGCTTCTCATTTTTCTACCCCCAGAGCCCAGGATCCCAGATTCAACAGATGTTTACTGAAGCACCGAGTCTGCACTTTTGTATTCCACAGGTATGTAAACCTATACCTCATTTTCAACATAAAATCAGTTTTTTAATAAATATAAATAAAGCAATCTAAATATACCAGTGAACTTTTAAAGTCCTAATGTTATGAATCTTCTTGCACTCTTATTTTAAATTACACTAGCAAAATTTCGTTGTTGTTTTGTTTCTCAATACTAGGGACTGAACCCAGAGCCTGGAGCAGCTTGGCAAGGGCTCTACACTGAACTACATCCCTAGCCCATATTAGCCACTTTTATGAATACATCTTACAGATAATTTGTTTCTTCAAAACAAAGCACATGAACACCTAAGTGTTGTGAGGGGGCAAAATTGCAACATATGCAGTCAAGGGGAGAAATAAAGAATGTCTACATGCTTCTGCCCCTTTCAATGCTTTATTCACTCAAATTACTCAATACAATTTCACTCTATAGGTTCTTAATCAAGAAAACAACAATCCTTAATGCTAGGCACTGCAATAGACATAATCCGTTCATAGCAAAATTTCTAGATTAATCAATTCACAGCAAACAATTCTAGATTAATTCTAAGCACTGCAAACACATTTAATCATGACAGGCTAATAAAAGACATTCCCTCTGTGTGCTAAGTTCAAAAGTCTCAAGCCTTAGGCTTTATGTCCAGCAGATGCACACTCACTCAGACCGTGGCCACCAGGTCTGGAGCCAAGGCAGGGTTTTCCTGGCATGGAGTGGACAAGGGGTTGAGGAGAGGGTCATAGGGAGGAGTTGCTGCTCTCACCAAAGACCAGGTGGTAGAGTTTGAGAGCGGTGAGGATCACCCAGAGGGTCAGGAAACAAAGACAAGTGATGGGATGTCAGGTCCTCATCAGGCTCTCTAGCTGAGTGCATCCTTGTTGTTTCGGCTGGCTGAATCCCTGTTCATTAGCTCTATTATTAGTACTAAATTCTGGGGCTTTGGAACTCCCCTTTCAATCCTTAGCAGCTACCACTGGATTTCTCAGTGACATCATTTACCCTGGGGTCAGAAACATCTGTCTGATGGTCTCTACCCTGATCTTCTACTGATTGCAAGGACAGCCTGCCAGGGGCTTTACTCGTTTAGGGGAAGTAACTTGTTTGAGGCCTTACTGGAGGGCTCTATGGGTATGCCTGGTGAGACTGCAGGTGTCAGACTGGAGCTTTTAAAATGGAGTTGCTTGGGCGCAGGCCTAAGGCCATTTTCACACTAAAGCTCTAGTTTGTTGCTCTTTTGAATTTTATAATTCTTTAGGTAATTATAGATTGATCATAAGTATATCTTCACAACTGATTGTTTTAGGTTCATATCCATTTTTAAAAAAAAACTCATAAAAAATCCCTTTAAAGAATAATTTTCTTTTCATTTAATTAATCCAGAGGCAAAAAAAATTGTTTTTGAATAATAACTTTCATGGCAAATGATACA